ATTATTTGAAGCCTAGAAAGGCTTTGTATTCATATAATACTTGGATAGTTGCTTAAAAAGACAAGTAAAAGAATACTTGTATCTTTATAAAAGATTGTGGAACTTGACCGGGTTGATAAGGAATTAGATGTGGTCTCGGTGGTTGAGACGAATCCTAGTATAAAAACACGTGTTAAGTGTGATTTTTTTAGTGACACTATTCAACCCCCTTTCTAGTGTCTATCTTTTCTCCACAATTTGGTATCAAAACTCAACCTTTGACAGGGTTGAGCATCTAATCGTTCTAAAAGAAAAGATCATGACATGGAAAACAATGAAGGATAATCCCTACCCAAGGGAGCTTATCTTACAAGGCTTCCAACCTTTATTGGAGAAGACTACCCATATTGGGAAGACAGGATGAAAATGTTCATCAAGTCCACCCAATATCATTTTTGGAAGATAATTATAAGCAGTTTGGGTTCGTTCAACTGTTTGTAAAGGGTTGCGTGATTTAGAGGCAAAAAGCAAGAAATTAATAAAATAAAAAATCGCCCAACTGTTTGGAAAGGACTGAGCAGTTTGGGTCCATAGAGGATGGAAAAATCTAACTCCTAGGGGCTTAGTGGATTCAAAATGACTCAGCCATTGAAGTCACTTCACCATGAATAATCCTCCAAACCACTCAATCGTTTGGAAAAAAAGGTTAAGCGGTTTACTCTCTCTCCTCCATACTCTATTTTATTTTGTTGCACATATATATTAACTTGAGAGGAGAAAAACAAGGGAGAACAAAGTGCAAAAAGGAGAGAAAATAAGAGAACTTACAAAGAGTTTATGAATCGGTTAGGAATGGGGGTTGTAATGATTTTCTTTTCTTCTTCTACTCTTTCTCCATGTATTTTGGATTGGTTTTTACTATCACGAGTGGTTTATGAATCGGTTAGGAATGGGGGTTCTAATGATTTTCTTTTCTTCTTTTACTCTTTCTCCATGTATTTTGGATTGGTTTTTACTATCACGAGTGGTTGATCCTTTTCTCTTGTTGGGGTTGAATATAATCCATCAAACTCTCATGTACTCCTCTTGATTTCATATATATGATTATCTATTATTCATTATTAGTGATTTTGATTACGTTCTTAATACTAAGGTGATTTGATCACTCATCTTTGATCTTTGACTTGTATTTTGGTTAGATGATTGTGATCCAAAGTAAGTCTACAAGGCATGACCTCCACGAGCAGCCCAAACCTAACTTGGAGCTTTGCTAAAACTTTTGCACTTGTTGCTAGACTTGAATCTATCAAAATTATATTAGCTTTTACAACTCATAAAGACATCAAATTATTTTAAATAGATGTAAAGAGAATTTTTCTAAATGTTATCATTGAAGAGAAAGTCTATAAAGAGTAATTTTCTAAATGGCAACATTGAAGAGAAAGTCTATGTAAGACAACCTCCTCGTTTTGAAAACCCAAACTTTAAATAACACATTTTCAAATTGAAAAAGTTTTTTTATAGTCTAAAACAAGCTCCTATAGCTTGGTATGAAAGATTAAGTAACATTTTAGTTAACAATGGTTTTATGAGAGGCAAAGTTGACACAATTCTATTTAGAAAAGAGTCTAGCTTAGAATTTTAGTAGTTCAAATTTATGTTGATGATATTATACTTGATGTTACTAATGAATATCTATGTGAGGATTTGTCTAAGCTTATGCAAAAGGAGTTTGAAACGAGCATGATGGGTGAACTCAAGTTCTTTTTAGGACTATAGATCAAACAAACGGATGAAGATATCTTCATTCATAAGCAAAAATATACAAAAAAAAAAAAAAAAAAACTTCTCTTGAAGTTTCAGATGAATAATGATTGCAAACCAATGTCTACCCCTATGCATTTGTTTATGGGTTTGTAAAATGATAAATTAGGTAACCAATAGATTATATGATCTATAGAGGTATGATTGATTCACTCCTTTACCTGATAGCTAGTAGACCTGACATCATGTATAATATTTGTTTATGTGCTCATTTTCAATATGATCTTATAGAGTCTCATATCAAAAGCAAAAGATGCATATTCAAATATCTTGCAAATATTGCTAACCTAAGTTTGTTTTATGAGAAAAATAATGATTTTAAGTTGGTAGAATTCTAATACAATATTTTTTAAAAGTGTGAATTTTTTATTCATTATTCAACTTCCTTCTAATTAATGTTTCTCTTTTTTCCACACTTCCATATAATAAAATTGGTAAACCATGTAACTGAACAATAAACTTGAATAACCACTATAATTGACCTAGTGGTGGAGGGTTAGAGATAAATATATAAAGACTTAAATTTAATTCTCATTTTATAATTTTATTGAAAATTTTTGAAAAATTGATGGCTGATTTTAGATTTGTTTGGTGTCGTATCTTGTTGTAATATAAACTTATTTGTCAAAAAAAAAATTGATTCTCATTTGCCGTTGTACACACAAAAAATAGATAAATTATGAACATGGTATTGTTGGTCTTTTGTTGAAAAAAAAAAAAAACACACACATACTATACATGTGCACTATTACAATTGCAACAAATCATGGGTCTCGATCTAGTTAATTAGTTTGTTAATTACCCTGAACATGCATCCACCCATGTATTGCTGCCACAATTTAAGCATTAGATTGCAAGAAAAATCATGCAACAATGCTTCAAGTCTACTCTACTCTTACCTTTGTCCTAGAATCATCTAGTGACATAATGCTCACGACATTTCGTGTAATTAAGCAAGTTTAAAATAAAACTCTTCAATTATTCTTGGGTGGGATGTTGACAAGTTCCTTTTGTTTCTCTTTTTCCGATTCCTTGAGGCCACATTCTTCTCATCACCTTCTTTCTCTGCTTTTGGATTTGTGAGATCATACATCTCTTGATGGGTTCATTAAAAGAATAATAATTGATAAGGCAAACTTTGCTTAAGTGACTTTTGATTCACCAGACCTTCTCCTACTGATCTAATAAAAATTCCGGGGTCCCTTTGGCATCATCCTGGAATCTCCTTTACCTGTTATGGAATATATTAAAGTGAGAAAGGAGATCAAGTACATGAGCATGTTAAAGAGAAAGGTACTGCAATAACTCTTGCTTCTTTTCGTGTTTTTCAAACATTTGGGCCACATACCACAAATTATATATATTCCTTTCTTTGAATACGAACAAAGCCTGCCACTAAGCAATTTTATTTCGAGACACAAGTAGCAATGTAGCATATGCTTGCAGATGAAGAATCAGCCTCCCCACACCCGTGCTGTTGCTGGACCCACCAAGTTATACTCCACTGTCTGAAAAAATGTTATCTAAGGAAGAAAAAATCACATTCGTGTGTGTTGGTTAAATGTTACTAATGCATGTTTCCATTTCACTAACAGTTGAGTTTTGGACAGTCACAATAATAGGGACACTAGCTATTTTTCTAATGGAAATGTATCTCTTCAGATTTTTTTATCCTTGACAAGAGGTAGTATATATTCAAAGAGAGTTTGTTGTATATAATAGTCTTACCTCAAATAAAATTATTTATGAAGACATAAGATTCGATGATTTGGAACTCTCAATTTTTATCTATATTAAAATAATATTTAATTAATAAAAATTATGTTTTGTAACTAGTAAAAGTTATGTTATATATATATTAATTTATAATTATCAACTTTAAAACACTGATTAGTTCATATCTATGACTAGAAATAACAAAATTATTTATCATTAAAAATACTCATGGTATAGATAAAAAAACAAAATATAAAATTTTCTCTCGAAATATTTAATCACGAATTCAGAATTATTACGGGTCATTAAATTAAAACATTCCGTGTGGATGTAGAACTTTGGATATTATAAAAATAAGAATGATTACGGTGTTTGAAAAATATGAAATTATTGAACAGTTGAGGCAGAGTAGCTAGGAATCCATGGGGTTGAAGTGCCAGTGTTTTGAGGACCAATCATTGGATTTTGATTCGAGTGATCAAAACTCTTGACCGCAACCCAAGAAATTTGAAGAGTGACTTGATCGAATTGGCTTTTAAAGATTTGTTGTTGGCCATTATATCCTTCCTTTTTCTTTTCCTTCTTTAATTTTTGGCTAAAATTTCTTTTCTTCTCTTCATCTTGGATATAGATTACAGCAGCATTAAAGCAAATATTCCCTTTGGAATAATTTCTTTAGGAGACTTTTATCCTTAGTGAGACCTGTTGATTGCTTTGGCATTAAAAGAAAGTGCATGGCCACATATTTTGTGTGTTCTTCACATCTAATTTTAACGGGTATTATTTTCACATTTAATTTCATTACACTGTTGGGTTATGTATTACATGATCCTAACCTAATGATTAATAGGGTCAGTGGTAAGTTAAAATAGTTGTGACTGAACAGTGGGGTATGGTCGCTTTATGAACTTTGGGGAAGGATAATGTAAGAAATTATGATCTGTTCAATTTCACGAATGGACACATTGTATTAGTGTCGTTTTGATAAGAGGGGTACGACATTATCTCATGACACGGTTGATTAGTTCTCTTTCTTCTATGCTTTATTTATAGAGAACACGGATGCTCTGGGTCCATAAATCTAATAGTAGATTCTTTGATTCCTCCATCCCTACAAGGAACAAAAAGAATCTGCCAATCGCATTGCACACATAAAGAAAGCTCAAAATTAAAGTTGTTAAAAAGGGAAACTGAAATTTGAAAGAAAGATTGATTAATTTAGTTTTCACTTTCAATCATCGCAAGCAAGTATCCATAATAGCATTTCCATGATTTTCTATTACTATTTTCTACCTGAAAGCTTCTCCCAGCATTAAGAAAGTTACACCCATTATTCATCATGGTGGGGCCTACCCAGTTCCTTAGGGAATCAACCTTAGGGAGAAGTTTAAGTGGGAAAACAGCAAGATAAAAACAAACAATACACTTTTCCTCTTTTCTCTCCTTTTAAGACTCAAAATTGTGCTGTTTTCCTTTCTTTGTTTTTGCTGAATCAGAGATTCTCTCCACCCCTTTCAAGTCAAAGAAGGAAGGGTAGGGAGGAAAATAAAAAAGGAAAAGTGGGTGTGAAATGGGAAGAGGCACAGCTCATGGCATATATTCCGCCAACATAACCCCACTTATGCTTCCTTATATGGAGTGAGATCATACAACATCCTAACTACTCCCAATTTATAAAGAGAACTATAGTCTATAGCTTCCACTCATTCACGCATAGCTAAAAGCATCAAACGTATATCTATGTTTCAGTAACACTACCAAAAACAGCTAAATGGATCTGCAAAATCAAACTATGCGTTTGGTTCTCTCAACTGATGCCAAGCCTAGGCTGAAATGGACTCCTGAGCTTCACCAACGCTTCACTGAGGCTATTAATCAGCTTGGAGGTGCAGAAAGTGAGTTTACTATTTTCATATTAGACTTTATATTATATCAAATATATCTTTGCTAATGTATTATTCACACTGTGACATGTGGCAGAGGCAACTCCAAAGAGTCTTATGAGAGTGATGGGGATTCCAGGACTCACTTTGTACCACCTCAAGAGCCATTTACAGGTACTTCCATTGTGGGATGATGGCATCATAATTTGTTGGTTTCAATGAATCCAAAAATCATGAGTTTGAGCTTATCTGTGTTTCTGGTTACAGAAATTTAGGCTTGGGAAAAGCCAACAGCTAGAAACCTGCTCTGACAACACGCAACAAGGTGACTTATACTATGTCTGGTTTAGAAGTAATGACATACATGACTAGTGGTTTTCTTATTTGGCATTGGCATAACCTTGATGCTCTTTATTGGTGCAGGTTACAGTGAAATCCAGAGCAGTGATGGTCATTGCAACAATGAAAATAGTATTGGGACCCAGAATCAGATGACCGAGTAAGTGCATGTTTGATTCCACATCTATGATTCTCATTTAACTAAGAATAACATTAAAATTGATGCAAAAGAAACTAATTATTGCTTTCATTGATCTACGTCTAACCAAAATTGATATAAATCCAATCATGCTCTAATAGTTACAGATTGAACAAATATTTGAATTCCTTTTATTGATGTTGCATGTGAACAGTATTGCCTAGAATTTTCATTGACCAAATACTATGTTTAACAGAAGCTTGAAGATTGCTCAGGCTCTCGAAATGCAAATGGAAGTACAAAGAAAACTTTATGAGCAAATTGAGGTAACAGGAGCACATAATATTGTCTAAACTTATTCCTATTTGAATTCCAACTTTTGCATACGGAAATGTTAATTGGTTAGGATCATGCTTTAGGTCCAGAGACATTTGCAGTTTCGAATTGAAGCACAAGGGAAGTACTTACAAACAGTACTAACAAAGGCACAGGAAACACTTGTAAGACACAGTTCTTCCACAACGGGTATAGAACTTGCAAAAGCTGAACTTTCTCAGTTAGTGTCAATAATCAACAATGCATGTCCAAGCTCTCCCATTTCAGAACTGACAGAAACAAGAGGGCTCAGTTTGAACCATGGAGAGAGGAAACAAGACAGAGGAACCATGTGTTCATTTGAAAGTTCTTTGACATCATCTGAAAGTTCTGGGAGAACAGAAGAAAATCAACCAATGGATGAGGCAGAAAACCCTCAAAAGTTTAATAGTGTTTCCGTTGAATTGCCATTGTTGGCCATTCACCCAGAAGATAGAGCATTCAAGGGAGATACAAGTGATGGAGAAAGTGGGAGAAAGAGAAGTACAGTAACTGATTCTGATGGTGGCTCTGTTGATCAACCTTGTGGAAAAAGATGTGGCAACAAGTTGAGGAAATCAGAAGTGTCAGAAATGCTTGACTTGAACAGCCAATATCAGAGAGACATTGACTCAAGTGTGAAAGAAATTGATTTAAATTGCAGTTCAAGCTTTTGGGGACAATAAAGATGTGTCTATTATATTAAACATATGCAACACATATTATTCTCAGAAGAAAATATGTTTATAAATTATGTATATTTTTATAATGAAAAAAAACTGTAGATCCTGGTCAAGAAAAGGTATTATACACATATATGGCACCTCTCTCAGCCTCTTATTCTTCTCTTAATCTTGTTGCTGATATTGGACCACAGTTTAACCAATTTCTACTGTCACGACTTTGTAATGGGAACCCACTAGTTTGATTTATTCTACTTTTGTGGCTTCTCAAGACCCTACTTGAGTCTTGGTGACACCAAAGCAAGCAAGGTTCTATTGTGAGCCAGTTTTTACCAACATATACCTAAGAGATTGATGGGTAGGGCATGTTACTAACAATAACTTTTAGGGATAAAGTTACGTGATGTTTAATTTTATGAACTAGAAAAGATTGCTTAGAGTAACCCTGTTAGTATTTCTCCAACATTCGAAGGAGTAAAACATCACATCCACAACATCTATGATGTCACCAAAAAAATTGAAGAGTGAAATATGTAGCATTGAGAAACAGGTTTTCAATTTTAAAATTTCAATTGATTGGTAATTTGGTATCACTATCTTCAAGAGAGAACCAAATGTTTGTATAAAGCCTCTACAAGTAAATCGTGTCCTTCCATACAAACTAGTGCATTATCCAGTGGAGTTCTCTTATTCAGATTTCGTTTCTGTTTACTTTCGGGACCAAAGCTACGAATTGGTTGTTTGTATGAATCAAAAGTTTTGATTTGAATTTTGATTCTATTCAGACGCAATAGACAATGGCACATGACTTGAACGTTAATTAAGGAAATAGTGGTCAAGTCTTATAATTACATTGTGGTTGGGAAGGCACATGTAGCTGTCCTTTAGCTGCAATCAACAACAACAATCGATTAGGTGAGGTAGGCTCCAATCCATGAACCAACTTACCCATTTTGCTCCATTAAAAATATTTCAATTATTGATCTATATTACAAATATTCGGAAATAGATCCCCTGACTTTGGAGGGGGAAAGTTAGGGTAACTTTACACATTTAAACCATTGGATTTGTAATAGTAGATCAGATTGTGACACGTGTAAATGTAAGTTAAAATATATTTTGTACACGTGTCACAATCTGATCTATTATTACAAATCCAACGATTGAGATGTGTTAAGTTACCATAACTTTGATATCTCAAAGTCAGAGGATCTGGATCCCAAATATTCTACCAAGTTTTACAATAGCTGCCAAGTGCCCAATATAACTCTCATTTATACCTTGATTTGTGAAACGCAGTGTGTTAAGATTTACCTCGAAACATGACAGGAACAGAGGAAGAGTTATTCAGTGAGGAATTAATGTTGGAAGACGCAAAAAGTAAAGATGAGACGATCTCGGTATTCGCGATTTATGAATTTGTGGAGGTAGAAAGCACGGACGTCACGGGACGCCACAAAATTAATAAGTTTTAATTTTGGTTTTAAATTTTTTTCTTTATTTTTTATATTTTTAAAATTAAAATTATTATTTTTAGTTCTTATTTGTTATGTGATCATTTTTAACTACATTTTATTTATTAAAAAGTTAAGTATCAAATATTATTCACCACACAACGTGATATTATGTCGATGTTTGACTTTAAATTTTTTTTATAAATCTTTCAAATAGATGTTATTTATTTGTCTTAAAATAATAGCTAGACATTAAAAATAGTAATTAAGATTTTAGGGGGTTGAAGATTAAAGAAAAATATTTTTCAAAAATCAAAATCAAAATTTATTCATTTTGCAAGGACCAAAAATCGTAGTTTTAAAAATTGAATTGAATTGAATAATTCAACCAAAAATCGATTCTTAACCAGTTTAGGTGATCCCACAAATCATTTGTCATGGAATCGATAGAAAACTGATAGAATTAGTCTAGAATCGGTTGAAATCGATAAAAAAATCAATCAAACTAATTCAATTAAAAAATAATTTTTTAAATATTTAAAATTTAATTTTAAATATTTTTAATAAAAATATATTTAAAAATAATAAATTAGAATGACTTATTTTTAATATATTTTTTAATGATTTATATTGTATTAATTTGATACCCTTTATTCTAAATATAAACTTGTTATTATCAATAGATATTGTTGTATTTTATTAACATTTAAACTTAAGTATTATATTATATTATATTATATGTTAAAAACTTATAAATAATGTTTTTTTTTGTGAAAAGAAAGAAGAGTTTTTTTTATTTTAATTTTTAGTATTATAAAACTAAGATATTATATTTATTTAATATTATTTTTTACTGATAATAATAATTATTAGTTTATTGATGATGGTTCAACTATGATTAAACCATTGAACCTTGAACCAATGAATGTAAGTTAAAATATATTTTGTACACGTGTCACAATCTGATCTATTATTACAAATCCAACGATTGAGATGTGTTAAGTTACCATAACTTTGATATCTCAAAGTCAGAGGATCTGGATCCCAAATATTCTACCAAGTTTTACAATAGCTGCCAAGTGCCCAATATAACTCTCATTTATACCTTGATTTGTGAAACGCAGTGTGTTAAGATTTACCTCGAAACATGACAGGAACAGAGGAAGAGTTATTCAGTGAGGAATTAATGTTGGAAGACGCAAAAAGTAAAGATGAGACGATCTCGGTATTCGCGATTTATGAATTTGTGGAGGTAGAAAGCACGGACGTCACGGGACGCCACAAAATTAATAAGTTTTAATTTTGGTTTTAAATTTTTTTCTTTATTTTTTATATTTTTAAAATTAAAATTATTATTTTTAGTTCTTATTTGTTATGTGATCATTTTTAACTACATTTTATTTATTAAAAAGTTAAGTATCAAATATTATTCACCACACAACGTGATATTATGTCGATGTTTGACTTTAAATTTTTTTTATAAATCTTTCAAATAGATGTTATTTATTTGTCTTAAAATAATAGCTAGACATTAAAAATAGTAATTAAGATTTTAGGGGGTTGAAGATTAAAGAAAAATATTTTTCAAAAATCAAAATCAAAATTTATTCATTTTGCAAGGACCAAAAATCGTAGTTTTAAAAATTGAATTGAATTGAATAATTCAACCAAAAATCGATTCTTAACCAGTTTAGGTGATCCCACAAATCATTTGTCATGGAATCGATAGAAAACTGATAGAATTAGTCTAGAATCGGTTGAAATCGATAAAAAAATCAATCAAACTAATTCAATTAAAAAATAATTTTTTAAATATTTAAAATTTAATTTTAAATATTTTTAATAAAAATATATTTAAAAATAATAAATTAGAATGACTTATTTTTAATATATTTTTTAATGATTTATATTGTATTAATTTGATACCCTTTATTCTAAATATAAACTTGTTATTATCAATAGATATTGTTGTATTTTATTAACATTTAAACTTAAGTATTATATTATATTATATTATATGTTAAAAACTTATAAATAATGTTTTTTTTTGTGAAAAGAAAGAAGAGTTTTTTTTATTTTAATTTTTAGTATTATAAAACTAAGATATTATATTTATTTAATATTATTTTTTACTGATAATAATAATTATTAGTTTATTGATGATGGTTCAACTATGATTAAACCATTGAACCTTGAACCAATGCTTAGATCAATTTAATGAATGGTTTAGTTTTGAAAACATTGCCAAAAACAATGTATTTTAGAAGGATAAAAGAATATAAGCTTACTCCTATGTTTTTTTCCACTTAGGTCACCAAAACATTTTAAAATATAAATTCAGCTACATCATTTTTATTCTATAGGTCATCGAAACATTTTCTAAAATCTTGAATTTTGATACATATTAGTGGTTCCTAGGTGAAAACTAAGCTTACTCTTACGTCTCCTTCTAATATTAATATCTTGAGCTTGGGGTCATTAGGCAAATATACCTTGTCTTTAAATCTTAACACTCCATCATCCCTCATATTAAACTCACCACTCTTCCCTTGCCTTATGGCTTCAACCCTAACCATTGAAAATGAATCTACCTTTTAACCTTCCATTATCTCAACTAATAGGTCGCTAGTCACTCTCATCATGCCAAAAGTCTCACACCAATAGGGGTAATCTCACATGTTAAACTTATGTCTCTAGACTCTACAATCAAATCTATCTCCCTAATCATTAAGGCTGACACACATGGATTTCCTACTCATGCCATCAACCACTATATTGGCCTTACCTAGTTGGTAATTCAACTCAAAGTTGTAATCCTTAAGGAATCCTAGCCACTTTCCCTATTACATATTAAGCTTCTTCTAGTCAAACGAATACTTGAGAGTTTTATAGTCACTAAACACCTCAAATTTAGAGCCATGAAGATAGTGTTGCCAAAGCTTTAAGACAAAAACTATGGTTGCTAACTAAAGGTTTTGTGTAGGATAGTTCCTCTCTTGGGTTTTTAATTATTTAGAAGCATAGGCTACTACCTTCCCATCCAACATCAACACTCCCCCTAATCCTAACTTAGATGCATCACAATGCACTACAAATGGCCTACTAGGATCAACCAACACTAAGATGAATGAACTAGTTAATTTCTCCTTAAAGCTTTGGAAACTACTCTCCTATTTACTGTCCCAAAGGAAGACTTGCCTCTTTCTAATTAATTTGGTTGAAGGTAAGGCTAATTTAGAGAAACCCTTTATGAACTTCTGGTAATACGCCACCAAACCCAGGAAAATCCTAATCTTATGTACAAAGTAAACTAGCTAGTAATCAAAGAGAGTTAACAATAACGTTGAAGTTAATGATAATTGTCATTAATTAATAATAATAAACAATTAGTATAAGAATATAGCAATATATCAAACAACAATGAATCTAAAGTAAATTAACCAATGCACACAAAGAAAACTAAAATAATGTACAAAAACATAAATCAACCCTCACATTGACTCAAAAAATGAAGATGCACATCTTTTGGTGATGTCTACCATGTCTGCATACGAAAATGGAGTTGGATAATTTGAATACCTATAATTTATTCAAAATAGAAATAAGTTAAACATTAGCCGATCATTAAATTGTCACATAATCATTTAAAGTAATTAATTTGATTTAAAAATATATTATCTCTCTCCATGACTCCCTAATGTATTCGATAA